AAAATCTGGTCAAGGGATTCGTACTTTTTGAAAGCCAGGTACAAAACGCCGTCTGGCCTCATCAAGTCAAGCCTCTTGCTCGGCAACGGCTGGTGGGGTGTGTGTCGACACCTGAACTACACGACAGAGGTCCTCGCAATCGCGTTCTGGACCACACCCGTCTGCAGCGCCACCGTTCTGCCGTACGTCTACGTGTTGTACGTCGGCTGCTTCCTACTCGTCCGGTCCTTCCAAGACGACGCTCGCTGTCGAATGAAGTACGGTATCTACTGGGAACAGTACTGTCGCCAGGTGCCGTACTCCCTGGTTCCCGCGTTGTGGTAGCAAAGCGCTGTTGCCGAGCATAGTGACTGTCCCCGTCACGTGACGGTCACTGTTCATCGTATCTATCTCATGATCGTGTCTCTCGTGTGTTTGTGTACTGTTCAATCTGTAATGAAAGTGTTAGTATTAAAACCAAAGAGGTTCAGATCAGCTCAGCTGAGAAAATACTTTTAAGCATTGTGGCAAACTACTCTTCTTGTGTGAGGTTAAGTAATACTGTCTCGGTGTTGCTGCTGTTGAGACAATCACTTTGGGACATGTGCAAAAGCAGAACGTCTATGGTTTGTAGTGTTCGATGCATCCCCAGCTTTTCAGCACTTTTGCTTTAAGACACCGGTTACTGCATCTTGGAAGGAAATAGTCCTCTCTAAAGCAGATCCGCCGTTACCTCATCCTCTCTACTTGCGATGAAGGACATCAGCGAAACAATCAATACGGGAGCCAATAAGAATGTTACATGCTATATGTATTCTTCCTCCAACGAAGTGCACCAAATCTGATATGATATTAACCAGGTTGTGCAAAGGAATAAATGATATTCACTACGATTACTGAATCGGACAATCTGGTCCACACTCTGTAACGTCAGTATCTGTTGCATGCCTAATGAAGTTACGGATTACATTATAACGAAACGCATTGTTTATTAAATCATAATAAATTCTTGTGTCTCAGACCAAGAACAAGGAGTTGAATTTTGAACCAAAGACAAGATCGAGAGGAGTTCAAAGAGCACTTTGAGAACTTAAACCAAATGATCTTTAACCAAGAACAGCGTTAGAATGCTCTTTGCAACATAGGCGTTTTCGGTTCACAGACTTGCTGGGATCGTACTCCATTCCAACTGTGTTTGATGATAATACTTGCGATCCGGCAAACTTGAACGTTGTTCGTTCAGGTTCCATGCATATTCACTTTGTTTCTCTGATTACGCCTGTCCCTGGTCACCGGGGATATATTGTTTTCGTGTTGTGTGATATACGTTTTGAATGATGAACCAAACCTTATTATCTTTTGGATGCCAGACTCTCGTACGCTTCCATGATGGGTCGTTATTTACGGTCTTTACTTATCGATCAGCGTATGAAGTAGAGTTCGTTTCTGTCATGTACAATCGATAAGAATGGCAAGATTGATTGCTTTATTGAAGGCCGTTTCTACAGCTTGGAAACTCCACAGCTCAAAATCCCTTGTTTCCTTCTCATGGACTGACATTTATTGACTTAGTGTGAGAGTGTGCGAAACGAGTCTGTTCATGAACAACTCGCAGCCACGCACCTTCAACTGTAAGTCCTGCGTAGTTCCAACTGCTAATAACCATAAACGCCTATCTGAAAAGGCAGTGGAAACGAGAACCTTAAAAATGAAATGTGGCTGGTATATCAGGTCTGTCAGAAAGACGTAGGTCTGCAAAAAATCAAGTCCCAACCATTTGAGATCACTGTCCTTGCTTAAGCATGAAAAACGCGCAGTGTCTCATGCAGTATACTGTCAGGTCTGAAGGCCATATTTATTGAAACGAGGTTCAGGGAGTCAAACGCCTCTGGAGCTTCGTGAACTGAGAAACTTTCTCAAAGTAAACAAACCCCTGGCGGTCTGTGAGAAACTTTTCTACAGCTGTTCCGGAGACAGCCGTATCGAACTATCATATTGCTACTCATCATTGCTGATGCGCACAATCAGCTGTCTTCGCAATTCATAGTCGAACTTATGCTCAACTTATGCTCAACGCTCTGGCTAAGATTTGCATAACGCATCATGTCCCAGAAGACCAAGTGAATTCAACGAGTGAAACACATTGTCATCCTCAAAAATGGTACTCCATCTTGATATTGTGACATCGCAGTAGCCCAGCGATAATTTCTGGCAATTTTCCTAAGTCACTTGTTTTTTGCTCAGGTCATTCATTCGGCACTGTGTCAAAGTAACAGTCTTTCGTTAGCAGGTTCTTCTCAGCAGAGAATTTCTTCTTCCTATATAAACTGCTCAGATCTAATAAAATGTATCAAATATCTTAATGATCCTTCTGAAATGACTTTTGCATCTCCGCTATCTTGCAACATGCGTTCGAGTGGCTTACATTAGGAAACTCGCGCTATACGTCAGTGACTGAAAATTTCGAACTCTTCGATGAAAATACGTTTTCGTTCCTTCATGAACAAATTTTCATATTCATGTATTGCTCCACATTGGTTTATGGAATTGTCCAGTTCCACTTTGAGAAGGTCTCGAATACTGTCCCTTCGGTAGGACCTGCTCAGTTCTGCAACATACAGAACAAGGTAAACTAATAGGAAATCACGAACAGATGTATACGACAGTATTGACATGCAGCAATGTGTAAAAATATTGCATGCAACGCTATTCAAGTGATCTGCTGAGTAATAAATCGATTCCAATATTTTCGGTAGCGCATTACGGGCCTTCTTCGAGGGAAGTTAAATGGTTTGGTGGCATGTAGCAGCTGATTTAGTTAGAGCAAGCTATAATCGAGCTCCTGATTCAAGCCACTGCTTGAACAGTCTTTCTGCCACAATCGCGACAAGGATCATCTAGCTGTAGCAGCGTTTGTATTCTCTGTCGCTGCTTGCATTGTCGCGGCGCCAACCATAGAACAGTCTGCGAATCGCCATAAGTACTGGAAAGCGTAGGCGACAGTTCTTGATCATCCATGATGTCCAGACCTCCAGAAATTCGTATCAATGCTGTGATGGCATCCTAACTTTTGCTTATCATAATGTGACAGGAGTATTTTTTGCACATTTAGTGCTGCTGTATCAAAATATGTGCTGGCACCTTTGTCATAAAACCGAGTTCCGACATGTTACCATCGACTAATAAAAAGTCCACCTGACAGAACAAAAGCCCGTACGACGTGACGAATTACCGGAGCTGTAGGATGCATCGAATGCCACGTGGTATTTCAACTTTTAGCTTTACACCTTTTTAACCATTCCCATCGAAAAACAGGGGGAGGTAAATCATCAGCAGCATTGAAACTGGAGATTCTTTCCTTCTTCGTCGAGACATAGACACGCGACAGCAAAGTTTCATCAAAAAACACATCTGGCTGTTGTCATACCATGATGTTCCCTGCACAGCACCACATCTCTAGATGTGAACTATTGACCCTTCAATACTGATACTTTTACAGCACCTAACCATCATTATAAGCAGCGAGATTCCGAACACCTAGGTGGTTGTACGATCTGAACTTCACTTTATAACACGGCCATTATGGTGAGCAGTATGTATTCGAATACCTGGCTGTATGTTTCACTTAAACCGGTTGCCTCGACACGTTAATAATGGAAAGTAGCTTTGATACTTGCCACCACGTTCGATTCAACAGCTTTATCACACACCTACCGCCGTAAGATCTAGCAGCCACGTTAGCCGTACTATTTCGTCTATACCGATGATAATCACTATCCCGATAAGCCGTAAGATTTCGAGTACCCTGAAGAATTCAATGGTTTGTATTGCTCTACAAGACTCAAGGTCAATGGTAGGAATTCAGAATACGGGCATCTCTGAAGATTCTGCAACTTAGACTAGTGTCAACTGCAAAATTATTACGTTAAGCAGCGAAGGTTTGAGCACAATGGGTAATAAGATGATTTCTACCACTTCTCAGAATGCAATTATCTCAGTCAGACCTCGAAGTTTCAGCACCAGCCAGTGTTCTGCTACTTTACTACTCTCCAGAGCATAACCTTCATAGTTAGCATTGAGAAATGGAGCACAGCCGTTGCCCTAACAATTCCTTGGAACAAATCTGGCATGATAAACGGCGTTAATTTCAGCACAATGATTGCTCCGTTAATCAAACACTTACCACTTCTCACAAATAGAAATTAAATTAGGTAGAGTGCTGCTGCGGGATTCTCTAATATCACACGCTGAAACGAAAACAAATCAAAGTTTATTAGCTAATGCAGCTGGCATTATTACGCACATAGAGAATTTACTATTTTGGAAAGCCGCAAACGTTTGTTAAAGCGTTTGCAATTGAGTTTTCAGATATATTGCTCATCACTCAGCATAGCCAAATTCCTTCGCGTAAGTCTGTGAACACGAAAAACTTATTGCTATTCCCTTTTGGATTGCATAAAGTTCTAGATAGAAATTGCTTAACTGAATTATAGCATTGTCCAGTTCGAGCCTGCAGCGCCACTATTGGTATCTCAGCTATATTTGTTTTTTGCCACGATGCTAAAACAAGTCTGTAAGATCTGTAAGTACCGATAACAATCTTAATTGATTTAAAGCCCGTAAACGTCACGTTAATCATATAATGTCATCATGTTTCAAGTGAAAACCCCAAAAATAGATTGAATGCATGACAATTTTTTTCCACAAAACCCTTTAATCGAGGTTTAAATGGAAAATACAAATAAAAGAGCTTAAGCATCGTTCTGTATCTCGTTGTTATACTGTAGCATTTGGTAAGTATTTGACAGATGCATATTGAAATTCAGATATAAGGAATTTCTATAAGAAAATTCGTTTTCGTTCCTCATCAGGTAAGGGCATTCAGAATGCCCGATGACATTAAAATGAGTTGCATTCGGAACTAAAAGTGAAATCAGTGTGTGAGCAATGATTTTGTTTATATAATATTTTTATATGGAAATCTGGTCTTGGAGGAGTCATGTTATTCTCTTCTGGTAATGTGACTTTTTGTCGTATCGTTACTTTCGTCTTAAATCTAAAATTGCGGTTGCATGAAGAAATAAATATAATTTTTACTTTCGCTGAGGTAAGAAATAGACTCGTAAGTTTACGTGGTGTGATTCTGTGACTGGAAGGCTTTTAGTGACCAGTGTTCCCTTTTGGTTATAGTTTTTTTTATATCTGCTTTTGGTTATTTTTTCATCTAAAACTTCCGAAACTACTCAGCTTATAATACGTAATGACTCAGTTGTTGGGATATTGTTAATCCTTTCGGTTCATGATGGCTCTCCCTTGCGCGTTGGACGCTGTTCAGTTTTATGATG